AAACAATATCCATGAGCATGTTTAAATTGTTTAAAAACAGAATGGAGGAAGCACGAACCAAGTCTTCCCTCCGAGATGATTGCCCGATCAACAAGCACAGGTAGCAAGCTCTAGCCTCAACCTGAAATGGTGGTGGGACGCCCCCCGAAAGGGGGTCAGTACTGTATACGGCTATAAAGTACTGGTGTGGATGGAATCTAATAGATATACAACAAGTATTTCAAACACAAGACCCTCAAATAGGGTGATAATATAATCTAGACTGTAACCCCAAGTTACCCATTTTCAAAATATACTTACTTATATATAAAGTCAAGTAGTCGGCTCGTAGGCCCAAGGTTTGTTTACAAAACATAACCCAATCCCGTGACCCCTAGTCACGACAATACATAGGGTCCAACCCTAACACACATGTTTGTATTCCTCGAGTCCAACTCGACTATATCACCATGCACATCATTCAGAAGTCAATTACTCCACTAATCTCCGACGTCATGTTCACTCATGCAATTCTAGAGCATCGGGCTCAAGTACATCTCCTTACATGGGCTGAACCAAATCCTTATGTCTACCCAATGCAATTCTAGAGCATCGGGCTCAAGTACATCTCCTTGCATTGGCATAGACCCCAATTCCTAAGCACTCGCAATGCCTAGAATTGTAATATCAATAATCTATTTCGGGACATCCTTACGGACTGCCTCATCATGATCTTAGCATCACATTTCATCAATTTAGTCACTTGAACCACAATCAAGTACATCACTTACAATCAAATCCTTAGATTCAATTCCTTAACAATTACAAACAATCATTAACTAGTATTCCAATACTATTAAGATTATTCCCATCAATCATATATTTCATTTGTAAATCCTTACATATTTAGAAATATGTAGCAGCAACTTAATCATCCAATGTAATACATAAATAATCATTTATGTATCTTCACAATTCACACATGAGTAAAATGCCTATTTCACACAATAGTTCATTTAACTCCATTTTTATCAATATGATTTCCAAATCATTTGCAATTTCATTCCTTATCTAATATATCAATATTTCATCAATAATCAGTCATTATAATCCATGAAAAACATGATTTAGGCATTTAGGTAATATCATGCTTAACCTACAAGTTGTAAGCAACTAGATGTCGATCCTCACCTTAAATGAGCTTTAAATTTTTCCTTCTTGATCCAATGGTCAAAGCTTCGGCCAAGGTGGATTAAGAACTGATTCCTTGCTCAAATATGAGTGTTAAGCATCCTCCTCACAGTGCTAGCTCAACCCCTAAACGTCGACACGAAAACAGTCCCTAGAACGGGTGTTTTCCGGCGAATTCGTTCCCTAATCTTTCAAGGTTTTGTCTAGGTTAGTATCTAACCTTTCCAACAATAAAAGTTACTATATAATAACATTTTATACACTTAAACCAGTGTATAATAGTTCTTCAACCATTCATAGGATTTAGGCAATAGAAAGGAAGATTTTGGATTCAAACTTACTTTGAATACCAAAATCTTATTCTACAAGGTTTCGTTGTGTTTGGACGATTTGGAGGCCTTAAACTGCTCCGTTTCTTTCAAACCGCATGCCTATGGATTCCTCTTCTCGATATCTTTCAGTGGAAAGCTCACACGCTTTAATACAATGAGTGAAACTCAAGATATGAGTCGAACAAGAAGGCCTACGCACCTGGAAAACTCCTGCGGCCAGCTCTCCAATTCCCTCTTTTCTTGGGTTGTGCGGCTCCCCTCTCTTCCTTATCTCTTTTTGTTCGAATGGGGGTGAGGGAGAGGTGATTAGAAGCTCTCAAATGTGATCTGAACGAGTGGCTCTAAAAAAATAAGGGTAGGGTATTTGATCCCAATCAAACATGGGATGATCCTCCTCTTTTATTTCTCTTTTGTATTGTTTGAGCTCTCAACTCAATAGGTCCGCCCCATTTATGAGTTCTAACTTATTATACTTGTTTTGTAGGTTATAGGAAGGTGTGGGGCGTACTCTCATGTCCTCCAATTATTTTGGGAGCAAAATACCTACCAATACATCCAAAAGTGGAAAGATGGGTCCTATCATTTTTGTCCTTTGTCATAAGATGTACTTTTGTACTCTCCTCAATTTATTTAGATCAAGTCAACCTTCTACATCATATTATTGGTCTATAATATGTGTAGGGTGATCCCAATAATTTACTTGATGTATAATTACAAAAGAAAATCCTACTACCATTATTTAGCCTAATAATGCCAAAGATGGGACCATATGCATTTGTATTCTTCTCCAATCATTCCATCATTCAATTATGATATTAATATTTATATATCTGGGCTACCAACCGTGTGGGTCACCCTCCAATGGGTCTAGGACGCCATTCTTGAATAATTACTATTTTTAGCAGGTTAGGCCCAAAATAACATTTGGGCTGCCTGACCGCACTTACATTGTACCGAGAGGTTGTATATCTTTATTTAAGGACGTTGGGCCCCAATATCAATAATATGGCCTAATTAATTATTCAGAAGTTCATTACCCTTATATGAGCTCAAATAGTAATATGATTAATCATACGTTCCGTAAAACTTTAATCGTTTTACAATTGTTCAAAAATAGGGAAATTCAATACATAAGCTTTGAAATTAAATTTAAATTTCTAGGACGTTCGAGTGCGGTGTCACGGCAAGGATAGGGGAGGAGATGGGGTGTATGAGAGGACACACACATGTTTGGCTGTCCCCTCCCTATTATTTGGGAGTTATTTGTCTGGTAGGATACCCCAAGTGGGTGTAGGAAGTCCCTCCCAATTATTCATGCTATTTCTGGCAGGTTGGGTCAAAATAACACTTGCGTTGTCCAAATATTTTCCTCAACCTCGGTTGACATTTTATTGGGCTTCTGTAATTATTATGACGACCCAACTAATTATTTGGTAGCCCATTCTCAAAATAATGGACCGAGTAATAATTTAATTAATCATTTATTACTTATATATACCATTCTTTTACACGAAATCATTCGCTAAAAAAATTCAAATACATACTGAATTTTAAATTCAAGTACGTCCGGGTGCGGTGTCACATGGTAGTATGTAAAGCTTTCTCAGATTTCTTCTTTCCTGCTCCTGGTGATTTTTCATGTATCTTCCAGCAAGTCTACCTTGTATGCCACAGTTTCTTGGAGTGATCACACCATGGTTTCTTTCTTTCATCTCCCTTGACCACCAATGTTGAGGACTCTTCAGTATCATTCTGAGATCCTGGAGTGTTATTCATAATCTTTTTCCTGCTTTCTTCAATCCTGATTTCAGATAATTCATCTCTGATTGAAGGCAAAGGTTTTTTCCCAAAATCCTTCCCTTCCCTTCATCAAAATTTTGAGTAACTCCTATCAGGAACATATAAACCCTGTCATTTTCTTCCCTTTTTGTGCTTGGTCAGATCTTTTGCACTTTCCCATTCATCATCATAGTATTGATCCAACTCCTGCCATAAAGACATCATTTCATTGAAGTAGGTGGTGACATCTCTATCTCCTTGTTTGGACTGCCAGAGAATGATTTTTAATTCAAAAATTTGAGAAGAATTTTCAAGGTCCGAGTAAGTTTCTTTTATGGAATCCCAGACCTCTTTTGCTGCCTTCATAAACATATGAGGTTTTGCAATTGAGGCTTCCATGGAACTGAGAAGCTAGGCTGTTACAAGTGAATTTTCTGACCTCCATGTACTATAGCCTTCCTCACCAGGAAGTTTTAGTTTGATTTCTCCCGTGAGATAGCCCAATTTTCCCCTCCCATCAATTGTGAGCTTGACAGATTGAGACCATTCTAAATAGTTTTTCCCATTCAATCTATGGCTAGTGATTAGCATAGATGAATGGATAGGAGACTAGTAATTTGTCATAGGGCTAATTTGGAAGTTAGGGTTGCTAGTGTGTGATGAATCAGAATCACTGGTTTCTACCATCGTTTTGTTTAAACCAAGTCTCTTATACCATGTAAGTTTTAGGAATAAATCTTCCTTGATTATGATGAGCCATACGGCCAGAATATATATACAGAACGATGGTAGATCCTAAAAAAATAGGATCTATCTAACTGCATTACTTATCTGCTAATAAATGCAGTCTAACAACTCTATTTTATCTACACAACAACATACGTACACAATCTAATAATAAATAATAAATGTAACATTTTCTACAATACTCAACCATCATTCATATCAATGTGAGAGAAATACAAACTAATGTGTGTTATAGACATTACTTTTGTGTGTAAACAATATCTAGATTGAATTTATATGTGATCAAGTTTCATAGACAACGGTTGTTCCTAATCCAATTCAACCCGCTTATAAAAAACGAAAGTCAAAACATATATAACGTACCATTTAAACATAATGAATTAGTCATCTTCTAACTATTCATGATTAATACTAATTCCGTTTCACTCAACTTTGTCAAGTTGATTTTGGATATAAAATTAAAATTGTGTGATTGAAATTTCTTGCAGAAGAAAAAGAAATGAGTAGAGTCACAAATCCATTGCATTTAAAAAAAGTGATAATTCACAAATGATTTCTCAAGACAAGGTTTATACTTTATATGAGTAATATTAATCCTATCGAATTAATAATTTGTTTAGCCTTTAAATAAACAGAGATTTTTTTATTAACTCGCCATTAAGAGCTGTATAATTTTTTCTCCATTTTTTGTATTCATTCATTTTTACACGCACGGGTAGCTCAGTTGGTTCAGTGGTGGGAAATTTGGAACACTGACCAATGTTTGAAACGCGCAGCGGTCGTGTGGAGATTATAGCTCTTGCGTGTTGGGCTGGACTTCTGATGCGCACGTGTATAAAATCTATCATCATTGGATCAATTGAGTCACCGTGACTTATGGCTCCCAAAAATCATGTCGGGTCGGGATGTAGGCTCCTCTGGTGTGAGATTACACCTTTTGGAACAATGTATTCATTCATTTTTTATTATCCTGCTAGGGCTAGTGAAAATGGAGTCAAAAGTAAGAGTATATGTTCGGCAGTAGCCACCAATCAACAGTTGAGTGGACAGTCCTCAACCCGTCTGTCAGCGAGATAAATGAGACAAAGAATCAGCAGTGAGAAGGGCTGTTCAGATGCTCAGTGAATGGGGAAATCCGGCGATCGGCATCTGCCACTGCATCACCGCCAGCTGCCAAATGGGTCTGGCCCAGACGGTGGTTCGTCGTACCTCTCTAGATTTTTCCCGCTGTTCAATTTCAAGTGCTTCTTTGTCTTGTTACTAGGCGTCGCTGTCTTTCTATCGGCCGTGTTCTGGGTCCTACCTCATCACTCCAACCACCGATCTGGGTTTGATCACTATGATGCAAAAGACTCCACCAAACTCAGCTGTGAGTGCACTACATCGTCAATTTACTTCTCTCCTTCTCTTTGTTGTTTTACATCTGTAATTCCACTTTCTATGATTGGTAAAGTTTTCTGCTTGATCTCTCTCTGGATTCTCTTGTTTCTTAAATTCGTAATTAGGGTTTTGCTAATACACCATTCTCTGAATTTTCTTTGTAATAAGCGTGTTAATTATGATAAATGTTCCGGAAATCTGGAATAGTGGTGTTTGAGATGCTTGTTCAGTCTTACCCGGCATTTTTCAATGATCTTTTCTGTGAAGTTGGTCTGATCAATTGAAGATTTGCTTTCTCAATTGTGATGCTTTGCAAATCAAATGAAACCACCTATTATTTTATAGATATAAAGCTCGTATTTGGGATTATAGTTCATGTCAAGGTTTATTTACTTATTCTGAAAGTATTTAAGAAATTTCAAACATTTTCTAAATGATGGTCAAAATCAGTTCATGATTATAAGAATTTTCAGTGTTCTGCTTCTGTTTTCAGTTAAGCACTTGAGCGACTTTAAACAAAAAAACACTGTTTCCAAACACATTTCTTGATGCTTTGCTTTATTATGAAACAAACATGTTACCTAATGATATCTCTCACCCGTCACACAAACTGCACCTCCTATCATGAAACATAAAGTATAAGTATTACCGAATGACACCTTAGCTTTCTAAGGATCTTGCTTCATCCATAATGTTACATCTATGGTGCAGCCATCAGTGGAATACCAACTGATTATATAATTTTTTTACTCTTTCTTCAACGCAGCATCTGTTCAAGCATCCTTCCAGCTGGATAAAGCAGTTTCAGATATAACCCCATACATCGATAGACTAGAGTACAATATATTTGGTGAGATAGGTGTCCCTTTTACAAAGGTACATCCTCTTTCCTGTTATTACAAGGGACCTTTTAAAAGAGGTGGACTGGTCTTTATATAAGATATTGTATTTCCCTTTAAAACACTTATTACGAAGTACTATCCTCCCTTCCATAAAAGTTGCAACAGTTTGACTTTCACGTTTTCCAACGCGCACCTTTGACTGTACTTATATTTATTTACGTATTAGTAAACATTAAAAAAAGTTAATATATTGGAAATTTACATTAATATAAATTTAATAATATTTTATACATAATATCTTTATTATATATATTATTAGAAAATCGTAGTCAAAGTAAGGTGTGTGAATACTGCAGAAATTCCAATGTTGCAACTGTTATGGAACGGAGGAAGTATTATTTTCTATTGTTTCCCTGAATGAATTTCGTGTTCATGTATACTTTTTAAAAGCATTCACACTGGAGGCATGGTAGGAAGGTGGGGTAACTAAAAAGACAGGGTAAAAGTGAAATATTAAAATATTTTTAAGAACTCGAGAATTGTGTGCTATAATAAGGATCAGATGGAGTATTATGTACTTGTTTATATTATTGTATTCTATATCCGGGTTTCTTATTAATAGTGTGAAATGTAAATTGGTTATTAATTAATTGCAGGTTGCAGTTCTACATGTTCACCCGGCTGCTGTATTGTCTAACCATACCAATGTGACATTCGGTGTCCTTTCTGATCCAGTGGACATACCAATAAATTCAGTGTCTCTGAATTTGCTGAGATCTTCTCTTCTGGATGTATTTCTGCAACAAGCTAATCTGATCTTGACCACCTCGGTTTTTGGACTGTCATCTTCTTTCCAGATTTTGAAGTTTCCTGGTGGAATGACTTTAAATCCTGATTCTAATTATCCGTTGTGGCAAGAACAGATTCTTTTCAGGTTTAAGCTCAACAATTCAATTGGTGAAATAAAAGAGTATTTTGTTGAGTTCAAAGAGCAGCTGAGGTCAGGGTTACGTCTCCGACAATGTGAGGTACACTCTTCGTTCTCAAATAGTGGTAAAAATGGTGGTTTTTAAGGTGATTAGTTTTGCCATAAATTGACAAACATGCTCCTTTTAATTTCTAGAAAGTAGATTATGTAAAGTATAAAAGTAACAAGCAGAATTGAAATGAATGTGATGAGGTTACTTGATCATGTTACCTTATTGGATTTCCAAATGGCCATATTTTTTGTAAAAAACTTGCATTTAGTTGATAAGCTTTAAATTTGAACGGAGGCAGTATATTGTAACTTCTACACCATATGCCAAATAAATGCTAATGAATACTTGGAATAGAGGAGATCAGGAGTGTCCTTTCCATGGTCTAACATGTATTCCAAAATTTATTGTAACTTGACATTTTATTTGCTGTGAATGAAGGAAGGCGCCCTTGCCATAGTTTTATTTTTAGGCTTTAATTATTTAAACAAGGAATAACGACACTTGAAGTGAAGTCCCTTAGTCATTGAGAAATAGTAAATTTAGCCTCTCAGTTATTAATGTCACATTGGCAGCACTTGAAGTCCCTATCTCATCCTTAAAGCGGCCAATTTAGTCTCTCAGTTACAAATTTACAATTAGTATATATTTCCCATAATTAGCATCTTCAGTCTCTTGTGCATTTTATACATGAGAAGCTACTTTCCTTTATCTTTTAAATGCAATTGATACTCCCTCCGTCCCAATATTATCTTCGTTCTTTCTTTTTTATCCGTCCCAATATAAACTCCTCTTTCCCTTTTTGGAAAATAATGTGTGGTTCACAGCATTTGTCCCCACTTTCTCTCTCCTCTGCACAACTTTATGACACACATTTTCCACTTTCTTAATCAGTGTGCCAAGTCAAAACTTTTATTTAATCATGTTAGTTGTATCTGAAGTAATTTTTTGGATTTTGTTTTGTTTTTATATGTTGTCTGTGGATTAGATCTTATAGAGACAAGGACTACTTGTTTCTTAATTTAGATAGAGACAAGGACTACTTGTTTTTTTATATTAGATCTTAATAATGTTTGCTTACAATCTTCCGCAATTATCTTAGTTTGATTAGTACTCCGTATATCCTTATATCACCACTTTAAGAATAACTTACAGGCTAAATATACTATTTTCATATATTCTGCTACCTCCGTTTCTATTTGTTTGACACAGTTTGACTTGTCAAGGATTAAGGAAAAAATGTTACTGAGGGGTATATTTTACTGCTTGTTTGGCACTGTTTGAACACGGTTTGGGACTGTTTGGCACTGTTTGAACACTGTTTGGCACTGTTTTGCACTGTTTTGATAAAGATTTGTTTATCAAATAAGCAAATAAGGAAGTGTGTCATTCATTTTGAAACATCCAAAAAAGGAAAGTGTGTCAAACAAATTGAAACGGAGGGAGTATTATTATAGGAACCAAATGTGTTGTTTTCTCTTTAAACAAGATTAGCTAATGTTGGTAAGCCATTATGTGATTGGTTATAAACTTATAATTTTTTTTGTTTCCCCCTAGCAGAATGTTTTTGTGCAAGTGAATAACAAAAAGGGCTCCACAGTGGATCCTCCGGTTACAATTGAAGCTTCAATTGTTTCAGACAGAGGACACCTTACATGGGATCGATTAAGAGAATTGGCTACTATCATTACTGGATCATCGCATGCAAGGAATCTTGGTCTTGATAACTCTGTGTTTGGCAAAGTTAAGGAAATAAGTCTTTCTTCCCTTCTGAATCATTCACTACAGGCATTGCTGCCAGCTCCTTCTCCGTCGCCACTGCAAAATCATCCCAAGGGACCATCATCACCGTCCAATGCTCACCGGCCTTATGCCCACACTCCTTTGCCCAGTCAGCACCGGCATAGGAGTCGCAGTCAGGAGATATCCCCAGCCCACTCCCCCGTATCTCATGGCTTCTCCAATGGAGGACACCATCAGAACAAAGGAAACCCAACAAGTTTCGCACCTGCGCCTGCGCCCTCAATATCATCCTCTGATCCTTGTAAGTTTCTCACAGTGCTGAAAAGTAATGCACCTGTGTTTTATCAATTTACAACCATGGTTTGATGCTCTGGTTTTAGGTAAACAACATAAATGGCACCCTTTGTTTCATTTTCGTTCCCCAACTATTGAATGAAGCAAATAATATTCCATGCGCTTATGCACATTTGATGTCTCTGTCGACAGTACCATTTGAAATTCAGCACAAGTTCATTGACAAGGCAACCTGAATAGAACGTATATTTTCCAAAAAGATTATGTGTGATCAATTAATTCACAGTCAGTCTTATCAAAGTCAGCCTAATTACTCTTGCCAATTTAGGAAGTAATCAGGTATAGGAAGAAGCAAGATATACTTCCTATGTTCCTTAATAGTTGCAACACTTGGAATTTAGCACTATTCACGCACCTTACTTGGACCATGATTTTTTATTAATATATATAATCAAATTATTATGTATACAATATTGTTATATTTCTCTTCATGTGTATTTCTTATCTCTTAGATTTTTATAATATGTAGTACTTATTACTCTCTCCGTCCCACTATAATTATCCCATTTTTTCATTTCCTTCCGTCCCACTTGTTTTGTCCCATACCGTATTAGGCAAAATTTGTGTGGCTCTAATTCATGTACTTTATTCTCACTTTATCAACTCATTATCAACCACATGACTCTACTTTTCTTAAAAACAACACCGCTCTCCTTTTTCCCAATAATAGGGGGATGGAGGTAGTAATATGTAATTAAATATAATTATGGTCAAAGTCGTGTCTTAGCAAACGTGAAAGTCAAACTGTTGTAATTAAAAAAGAATGGAGGTGGTATATAACTAGTTTGGTCATTAACACATCAAATTGTACTCGACTCATGAGGACTTCATTAGCTTAGTAGAACTATTACACTGTGTTTGGTTGTTTGGATGGAGTGTTGAGAGGTGTTAGTAATGAAAGTGTTAGTAAGTGTTGATAGGGTCCCGAAAGGTAAGTGTAAGTGTAAAACATAAGCTTACCTTGTTTGGGTGAGTTAAAGAAATGAAGTGTCCCAGTACCTTATAAATTATTAAGTACCCATAACAGCTTAAATTGCATTCTCCATTACGTGAAGAGCCAAATTTCTTTTGTTTCACTCTTTTCAATCAACACTACATACTAAACTAAACCTTCAAACTTGTGTTACCAGACCCGAACCAGCCCGGGCGGGTCGACCTGGAAACCAGTGACCCGCTGGGAATACCGGGCCATTTATGGATAACCCGCAAATATGCTCAAACCCGCTTAAACCCGATGGCCTGCTATTGACCTGGCCCGAAACCCGGCCTATTAACCGGCTAAACCCGGAGATCCCGTGTAACCTGCCCAGTCCACAGCCTAAAAAAATGGTTGCACGCAAGGTTTGAACCCGCAACCGCCACCATACAATCCACACACATTTCCAAATGTGCCACACTAGCTTCTTTGCTCATTTTGTTATCTCAAGCTATATATTTCCTATATCTTAAGTTCTTAATAAATTTTAAGCCAAATTGTTAAAGCTTTGTACGGAGTAATTAATAAGTGATACTACCTCAGTCCCACTGTGTTTGGGACAAGAAGGTGTGGCACAAATGTTAAGAAAAAGTGAAATTGTATAGTTGATATTAAATTGATAAAGTGTGAATAAGTAAGAATGAATTGTAACCATCCAAATATTACCAAATATGGTACGGGACAAACTTAATGGGACGGACGAAAAAGGTAAAATGGGACAAAGTTAGGGGGACGGAGGGAGTATTATAAAACTTCATCAAAATACTACGGAGTAATACTTATCATTAATTATTGATATTGTCTTACTTTCCAAATATGTCTACATCATTTCAAATATATTTGGAAGTTACTTATGTAATCTAATTGGATTTTATAATAAACATCATTCACACATATTGTTTATAGTTGATTATTTAAGATTTTAGAACAATATTATTATTGTTATACTCCGTACTTGTTATATTATCACTATTTAACTATAAATGAGAAATTGAGAATATGTTTTATCTTTATAATCTTTATATAATACGCAGTCTATAATTATACATATTTTATTTTTTAATTTTAACAAAGGTTGACCAGGTTTTCCACCCGTTGACCGGGCTGACCCTCGACCCGGTCGTTCGTCCGGGTCACCCTCCGGTCCGGTTTTGACAACATAGCTTCAAACTTGTGCAATTTATTTTCCAAGTCGTGGCTCTCAATTTCAATTCTTAGTTATGATTCCTTTGAAAAATGTGAAATATATTGGACCCAAAAATATGAGCAAAATAAGTTTCTGCTCATAAAAAAGCAATACAACCGTTCCAAACAAAGCAAAACTAGTGCAATGTCAAAGTTCATAAATTGTTTGAACATTAAATTCAAAAATTATAATGGTAAAACATTAATGCGTTAGCTCATGACATCCAAGAAGAACTCTCAGCAATATTTATCAATTGATTTATTAAGAAACCTTTCCTTCAATTCCCTAATGATATTATCAATAAAGTTTTACCATTATATACAGGGGAGAGTTCTAATGAGAATCCCTTTTAAAATGAGAACTTTTAATTTCCACCTTTCATATTTCAAATCAAGGGTTAGAATCAACAAGGTGAATTCTTTGTAATAATTTTACAATAATTACAAAAATATCCCTTTTGAATTTTGAATGAGTACACAAAGGATCCATATGCATCCTAACAAATGATTAAATAAAATAAAAGGGTGTGACTAAAAGTTCTCATTATAATTTATAAGTTCTCATTTTAGATGGCTTTTCACTAGAATCTTCCCCTATATATATAAGATTGGGATGGATTATAAGCTTCCTGTGTTGGGAGCAGCGAAAACTGAATTTGGAGCAGTGACAATATTTAACATCGAAGAAGCAACATATTAATAAAAAATCTGAATCAGCTACACGGAACACAAAAAGATGAAGAAGAATTGGAGGAAGGAGAAGTGACCAACCTCGAGAAGGAGAATAGTCTGCTGCAAAAAAACAAGAATAGCCGCAAGAGAGAGAGAATGTGTGGGAATAGGTACCGAGTTTGAATATATTTTTGAAATACGGATGACAAAGGTTGTCCAACACTTCACTACACCCCAATTGGGGTGTTAAAAAGCGATAAATTTAGGTGTTTTTAAATTTCTCTCCCAAACAAGTGTTAAACCCAACAGCTCTTAACATTTCCATTACTAACACCCGTTAACTCATAGTAGTCAAACTTGAGATCCTACGTAGGATCGGAAGGAGTCCTGGAGATCGTAAATCATAGGATCGTAGCATAGATCTCGTAAGTTTCTACTTTATATATATTTGTAGTATTATATATGTTTATAATACAGGGGTAAGGCTGCGTACATCTGACACCCCTATCCCACCGTTGGTGGGAGCCTTTGCGACATTGGGGTAATGAATATTATTATTATTATTATTATTATTATTATTATTATTATATATTTATATACATGAATATATGTATAACTAGATATGGAATAGAATATATAAATAATAATAATCACAGCAACATAGAAATTGATAACATAGCAATAATGGGAAAAAGCACGGTAGTAAACTAAATTAATTATAAACTAATAAAATTACAAGATTTACTCCCTTCGTATTGAAGATAAACTAATAACTAGTTATTGAATAGAATTCATAAACAATAATAATCACAGTAACATAGAAATTGATAACATAGCAATAAAGGGTAAAAGTACAGTCGTGAACCAAAGTAATAAACTAATAAAAAAACTACGCATTGAAATGTTTGCTACAATAGGGTTTGGCACAATATTTAAAGTAAAAGTAGGAGTAATGAATAGTGTAGAAAAAATAGGAGAGATGTTGGAAAAGGATAGTGGAAAAGTATGAAAGAGAAGATAAGAAGTAGAAAAGGTAAGGGTAGTTAAGTATTTTCAAAGGGAAAACTTACCAGAAATGGAAAGTGTGTCAAAAATTAAAATACATCCCCAAAAGGAAAGTGTAGCAAACATTTCAATACTGAAGAAGCATTAAACTAACGTTTTAAATTATTGTTTTAAATTATTGTCTCGTATAACATAAATGGAAAGTTCCTACGGATTTGAATGTATAATATACTCCGTAACAACCGAAATATTATTAATTATAAAGGAACGAGCTCTAAATCTTGTAAAAATATTACATGGAGGTCGACACAGTAGCTAACAGATGAAGAATTGGAGGCCAAGGATTTGACGCAGAAGCATCAGATGATGATATGGAGAGATGAAAAGATATTAAATTTGAAGAAAAGATCGCAGGCGCAGAGGATTCACGCAGAACTATTTCTTTAAATTTCAAAGCTACTATGTTCAACTTTTCGCATGTTTCTCACAAGTTTCAACGCCTCAGGATTCGTTTCTAGACATCTCCTAATAGGATTGAATCGCGATTCAACTGCGATTCTGTGATCCTATCATTAAACACGCTGATCCCAGCGATTCTTACGAATTACGATTTTATGATACTCAGTACAAACAGGATGTCGGGATCGCAAGGCTACTGGGATCGTATAATTGTACGATCCTATGAGTAAACTCACGATTTTGACTACCATGCCTTCAACACCCCGACCAAACACAGCGTTAATTACACATATTTTGTGGAATACATGCGAACTTCAAACTAGTCTGATAATTTTTTGGCTGAAACTGGAATTTCAAATGGTGCCATCTTATACCAGTTAAATGTACTTGGGGTACCGATTTGCTTCACTCAATTGTTGTGGTGCCAAAGTGCATTAATAACAATAGTTGTGGACCATTTATGAATTTACACCTTCTGGTTTTTATGATCCGTTGTTCTGGTCCCAGTTCAAGTCAAATTGTGATTTATACTGTCTATCCCATTTTTGCTGCCGGTTCTGCTCGCCTTCATTTGGCAAAATTGAAACCTTCCTATTATAATGCTCCGGTTTCAGTTCCAGTACTAATTTCAAAACTGGAGTAGCGTTTAAGCTTAAAGGCATCACTTGTATACATCGTATTTCACACTTGCTTATTGATTGAACTAATTTTGCAGCTTGCGAAAGGGGATGTATCCACGCGGGGATGTATTTTATCAACGTGCTAGGATCCCTCATTCTCTGTGCTTATTGGATTTGACAACAGTGGCGCCAGCGGGTTAGTAGATAGCATGCTTGCCATTTGAACCATGAGAAGGTGAAAGTCTAATCGGAACTGCCAGCAGGTTACAAAAAGGATATTATCTCACCACTACAGAAGACGTACAGGACACTTTTTCCCAAAGGGAATGCTAACTTATACAGTATTGTTTTCAAATTTGATGCAGGTTTTTCATTGAGATACCAATTGTAAAATGTTATGGGTTCTCTTTGGATGGCCTGTAATCTGAGTTAAGTGTGTATAAGAATAAGACACTTCAGTATACTTCAGTAACATACTCAAAAAGCAAAAAAAAAACTGTCGACACTTTACTATGTTCTTTTTTGAAATATTTATATTTCAAGGCTTCAAGCATTTAAGGCTTGAAATCTTTTTTTCAAGCCTTCAACTTACAGAATACTGTCACTGTCTTACCTTTTGATGCTTTCTAGTAACATACTAACGTGGGTTCACTGGGTTGCAATGTTGAATACAGAATACATAATCTGAAATTGTATCATCTCTATAGTCTAGTAGATTTTATTTAGATTGGGGTGTACCATTTCCAGTAACAGAAACCATATATCCGGTCTGATTCTAATTCCAGTTCTTGGGTTGGTTCAAGTTACTTAGCCTATTCGTTTTTATATAAAAATAGGGACATGAACCTTCCGGTTCTGATTTGGAGAAGCTGGACCAGAGTAGGTTTATATGTATATTTGGTTTCGGACTTACGGTGTGGAACCAGGAAACAGGTCCTATTTCATTCAAAATATTGATCATAGTCTAGTTCGGACCAGAGATTGAACCGGCAGAAAAAGTATAATTCATGTTGGTTCAGCACTCAAGCCTTTATTCGTTTTTACACAAGTTTATTAAGTATAGTTCATGTCGCTCGAATTTGTGATTAATCGTTATCTTATTCTCTTTCTGAGTTATCCTACTTATTCAATCATTTACTCGATTTGAAGGCTAAATCATCTCGTATTCTCGTGCTTATGTTATTGCCCAAATTGAGTAAAGTTGGCATTTAGATCCCAATTATTTTAATATAATACACAATTATTGTAGAACGAACAAAAAGTAAACAATTTAGAAACAAATTGGTCATTATTTTACTCTTATATTCCATGAAAAGCTAGTTTTAGAAAAAGCTAAACACAATTTGATCCTGTCAAGAACTCAGAATTTTAGGCAACCCTCATCAAGGGTCTAAATGTCTAATACTCTAATGTCTCTTTTTTCATTTTTGAAAATTTTAAACCACAATAAGTTTTGGTCAAGCAAATTCATTTCAGTCATGTTCTGAATCGAAAAGGAAAATGATGTTTTTTTGTTTATAAAGTATTGCTCAATTTTTAAGAATTACACGAATTTATCAAGTTAAAATTGCACGAATTGATCAATCAATTGATAATTATCGACTTCCAAACCAATAGCCGAATGAATCTAAAAGACTAAAACTACTGGAATATCTAACTCGCCCCAGGCTTCCTAAAGAAGAAATGAAGTATCAATTCATAGTGAAGAAGTGCTATAAGAGTATATGACCAAGTAATTTCAAGTAGAGCAGGAAAACAACCATATTATAGCCATGGACTCAGGCCGGTCCCGACCGGGCTTTTTTTTGTAATCTTGAGGCCCGGAACCGGCCCGGGTAGCTACCGGGCACGGGTTAGGACTTAGGCCAGGCCGGGTACCTTTTTTTATTTATTTTCTAATTACTTCCTCCCCCCTCACCCTTACCCCCCACACCCCTCCAAAACACCCAGCTCAACTCATTTACCTCCCAAATATTTTGAAAAACCAAAAAAAATTGGGCCGAACCGGGCCTGAATCGGCCGGGCCGAGTGGCTCGAACCGGGCACAGACCCGGGTACCGGGCCGGGCCGGTTACGGGGCTGTTTACCCATCCCGAGTCCATCCCTACCATATTCGGTATTACAGCTAATAGACTAGGAATTGCAAAATAGTATCACATTTATAGCGACATGTTTCTTTAACAAGTCCCAACAATCAGTTGATTATTAATATAGCCTAAGTCTTTCTCCACTTGATGAGGGAGAAAATTGGTGCCTTATCAGTCAAGACTCCTCTGCCATCATTTCTAACAGACTCGAGTTTCCATGCTGGACCAAGGAGCCATGAAGCTGCAGCTCCTCCTACCAAACCTCCCATCTGAAAAGTCAATCATAATAAAGATATTCAAATCAGATATGTAAGCAAAACGCCAGATTTAGGTCCTAACCAAGCAAGTTACTCGAGATTGATTCGGTTCTTACTCGTGCCTAGCTTGAACAGATTCAAACTTGACATGCCGAAATCGACTTGAACATCAAACCAAGTCAATTCAAGTTATATAAAGCTCAACTCGAAAAGCTCGCAAGCTACTCTCGATCATGAGTTCGTATCGATTTCTTAAATTCATACTTATGAGCATTACATTATATATCCAGAATATGAGTTCATACTTAATCCGGAGTATTATTACACATCTTCTACTCATGGTTGTCATGGCGCATGGCGCAACCCATGGCGCACAGGTCATTTTCCATGGCGATGGCGATGGCGCAAATATGGCGTCGCCACGTGACAAAAAAAAATCAAAACGAATAATAGTTAAAGTTTACCCAAGTTTACCCAACCACCAAAACATGATAAAATAGTTCAAAGTACTTCCAAAGGCGCAGACATGGCGACGCCATGTGTATACATCTCGCCACAGCCCGTTTTCATGGCGCATAGGGTATTTCGCGCCTCATGGCGCATGGCGCGCGCGCCATATTGCGCCATCGACAACCATGCTTCTACTAAAAGTATACAAGAGATTAACATGTTGGTTAATGTTTTAGGCAATGTTTTAAAAGTGTTAAAAACATTTAGTTCATCTTAGGTTTAAATAAAACATAAATGGCAAAGAAATTCCTAACATTTAAGAACATCATTTTAAAACATTGATTTTACATTTAAAGAATTATTGATGATTGCACATGTGTGTTTAAAAGTGATGATAAATCAAACCATTAGTTTAAAAATATACAAGTTTTGAGAATAGATAAGACTCAAATTCAATGTAAACTCGTCTCACATTCGAACTCAAACTCAAGTTATATATTTTTCGACTTGAACACGAATTTGACTCTTTTTATTGATTACAACTAGATCTCAACTAAACTCGAGCACTCTTTGTTATGAAGCAGCAGTCAGTCCATGTAATTTTAGACGTGATTCTCACTATGGGTCATCCGGAAAGAGCCTCTCTGTGCTTTAGTACAGGGGTAAGGCTGTGTATATCCGATTGTCCCTTACCCCACCGTAGGTGGGGCCTTTGCGGGCACTGAGGTAATTCTTATGATGATGAAGATGAAGAAATACCTGTCGAATAAAACATTGGAATATGAACTCCTTTTTTCCTCATAGGGTCACACATTATTTTTTGAATTTCCTTTCCCATACATTTCTTCCTTCCAACCAAGCAAGCCTTAGGGAATGGTTTCCATTTCTTAAAGAAAGTGTATTTCAACTTCTAGCGTTAAAAAAGTTAAAAAATAGTGCTTTCAAATAACTATCTCCGCTGAAATTAAGCACTTTAAAGCTCAAAGCTGGAAGTATGTGGATGAGTGCTTTAAATGGTTTTTCATATTCTTCTATAACACAAAAAGTACTTTCTTACCAAACGCTCTAACTTTTACTTTTTCAAATCACTTTTTTCTCAAACGCTACCAACTTTTTACTACTCCGTATTAATCACTTCTCATATCATCTCTAAAATTTGTTACTTCTCAAAAGTAAAAGCAAACACACTCCTGCTTGAAATGCACAATGAAACACTAACTTTCAAGTGTGAAGCAAGACTATACAACAAAAGGGAGCTCTTCTTCACATTTATAAGAAATCATAAAGCAAATAAGATCGGAATGCAGAAAATAAACAGATACTCGTAAACTCACATGTCCCCAGTTATCAATGCCTTGTGATAGAAGCCCAATGGTCTGCACCAAAGACATCGGTTAGGATTTGGTGGATTGTAGGAATGAATTCCAGTAGAAACAGAAACAACTTTGCGAAGACAGTATTCCCTACCATATTTAGAGCAATCACGCGTGCTATATATTTCAACTTCCCTTCAGTTCCCTTGAGGATACTTCTGTGTCTCAAGACATACACAGCATAAGATCCAACCTGATAAAGCCACCATACAAAAGGAAGTATATATTTACATTAATCCTTTTTCTTAAAATAAAGAAAATTGCTGCAGAAATTATATGTACTTTATCAACAATTAAAAAAGAAGCTAATATTAATCAAATTTACACATGGGTAAGGTCATCCCCATGCACTCTGCATTTAGAGAGGCAGCTGATAGCAGTGACATGAATATGAAGTCGGGAAGACTACTCAGAAGTCAGAACTCAATCTCAATTATTTGCATCACTATTTAAATGAAAAAAAGAAACAAAAATATATAAAAGCTTTAGTCCAAAGGTTTATTCAGTGCTTACAAGTCCAAAGATAGCTCCCGATGCACCAATCGCAGGTGCTTTGCTGAACCAGTAACTAAATGTTGAACCTGATAAAACATGAAATCGAAATATTAATAATTTCCTGTTGGAAAACAATGGACTATTTTATATTCTTATAAATACGCAATGGAAAGAGAATGTTACTCGCAGCTGCTGAGATCATATAAACAGCAATGTATCGTTTAGAACCACTAGTTTTCTCAATGACTGGTCCAACTGAATTTAAGGAATAACAATTGACCTGAAAGAAGTTAAACTTTTGTTTCAGTCCCTTCAGGCTCTGTTGGCTCTGTTTGGATGGATGGTTTTGGAGCAGACGAGTTTTGAAGGCTCAGTATTTTTTTTTTACTCCGGGGGGTCTGGGGGAAGGGGGCTGGGGGGCCTGGAGTAAACAGGGCTTAAACTCACTCCATTGAGTTTCAAACCCTTTATGTGCCTAGCGGGTTTCGAGCTTGAGACCCCCTACACCCCCTACAGGGCTGAAGGCTCAGTCTATTTCTAGATATATATTTGAGATTTAACAAATTTGAAATTTTAAAACAGTATCTGATCATAAAATATTCTGTTTATAGATATAGAATAAGCCCCCGTAAGTCTTAGTCTTCCCGTCCCAACCCTTAAAACTCCCTCCATCCAACAAGACCCTAAAAGGAGAAATCAGACACATTTTCATCAAACAGATTGTGCAATATATTGTTACCAGAAGATGCCCAAGATTTGCATGCAGGAATGAAGAACTAATCAACCTCCATATTTCTCCTTTGTCTATCAGTCTATTGATCTGCACTCATATACTTCTGGACAGTACACTATCAATTCAACCCTGGTAGAGAATTTTATACTTTGTCATTTTAAGTTTTTAGAAGTTGGGAACCTAACCTTAGCTCCCCAAGATAATAGTTGCCCTTGTGTTCCAACTTGAGCAATATAAGCTCTGATGAAAATTGAGATAAGGTTCTTACTTTTATAGCTAA